AGCGTTACTAGTCACTTTCTTAACATGTAGAATTAAAACTTAACATTTAGACCCATACAGGGCAAAAAGGACCCACTAAGGTATTTTTGTTAACTGAGCGACTTAATTTATTAAGAAGAGGAGTGGATGGGGATGGAAACAGAGAGAATGGGATCATTAGAGAGATGCTTATCAAGAGACTGATGGGAGAGTGAGGAGAGCTATCAAAGAGGGTCGATGTAATCTCCAAGAGGGGTGTGAAAATTCGGAAATAAGATCAGATAGAAGAGAGGAAGGGTTTTGTAAAGAGAAACTGAGATTAACAATATAAACAGTGTGGTTTGATTAGGTGTAAAGACATACTTTAATCCAGGCCTGGAGCAAGACACTATTTTATTTTCTAAAACAGATGTGTGAAGCCCTGTAAGATCAAAAAAGAGGAACTGGGACATTTTTCTCTCTCCCTCCTCTTTCTGTTATACCCATGTCTCACACCTTTAACCTTAAGTAAGCATTAAAAACGGTGACACCTCGGCTGAGGTATGTCTGTTAGTAAAACCTGTTCAAAACTTTGTGTGACCCCCCACATTGAATTTTGGTCTCAAGAATATTATATTATTTGTCTGCACTGCATATCATTTATTATTTACATGTGTGTGTATTAAAATGTACATTAAAATGTCACTTTATTGTGTTATAATGAGTGTACACTGAAGGGAATAGAGCTGCATTTTTTAAATTCAGAATGGCAGTTGACAGTTTGAGAGTTGCCATGGCGACTGTAGTGCATCCTCACACACCACACCGGACTTTCTGAGTAAAAACCAACTCTTCTGTCTCTTTTGCTCCTAAAGGTTAGTAACAATGATCACGTTTCAGAGGAAAAGGACTGTAACTCATATGCTTTCATGTCCAACTGTTGTGTTTGAAGTGAATGTTCATTTTATTAGTAATTTTAGCATAATTGTTATGTCATAGACGTCTGTTAGTGTTATCATTTACCTGAATTGTTTATCCGAGTTAACGTTACTTACTTTAGTTGTTTACTTTAGTTACTTAACGTTATCTGAGATAAATCTGCTGTGTGAAAAGTTGTGTAAAAGAACGAGCGTTTGTGTGAGGGTGACCATACGTCCCCATTTCCCGGGGACAGACCCGGGTTTTGGACGGGCCTAGGAATGGAGCTGTCTCCGGAAATGTCCCCGTTTTACAGCACTTTCAAAACAACCATCAAATACACTGTAAATGCCCGACCAATCTAGCCCGACCAATTATCGTATGATTGTGATTATTTTGACCAGCAGTCGGACGCTGCGAGCTATAACATACTGATCAATAACTGTTAACGTAGTCGCTTGGACGAGAGCAGAGCGATATTATCATCAGTTATCAAAAGAGACGCCGTTACTGGTTTCAATGTAGTCACATACTAACTATACATGTTAAAACAAAGTAATACTGTTTGTGTGCATTGTATAACGTGACATGGTTAGGTTGCGGGATTGTTTTGCACACGATATTTAACATTCCTGAAACTTCCGCCGTTACAACTCCGATATGAATAACGTTAATTAAAAATATAATAAACTAATCAAGTACACTTGCACAATTACATTTGCAGAAAACACATACTTTGTGGACAAAATTATCCTAAAATGCAAAATAATAAGTCTGATTAGGGATAGAAAAGATCAATTTCCAAAAGCATAAACATAAAATTTGAAAAGTTGTAATTACTGTACTCACACCTCGTGAAAATGTTAAATACACAGTTAGAATATATTAAACATATTTGTTAAATACGGTTTTATTTATCATATATTCTCATATTTATTGTATGTATGTGTTTTTGTAAAGCCTTCCTTTTGTTATAAATCTATTTCGATGTTTACTATTTGCAAGAGTTACTATTTACTTGTGTGTGTGTTTTTTCATCAATTGTATTTAAAAAAAGCTAGAGTAAGTTTGATCCTCAAACCTCACTGTCATTATTAATTATGATATTAATATATGGAATCCACAACCATTTAAAAACAAAAATATTCAAATATATATTGTCCCTGTTTTTTAATTCATAGATAATCACAAGTGGGATGTCAGTGATATTTTGACAACTGTTTTCATTTTCAGAAATCTGGTCACCTTACGTTGTTAGTTTTTTTATTTTTTTTTTATTTTACATTTGATATAAGTGTTTGAATATTTATTTCAATGTATCTCTGAGTACTCCGTCTTAATGACTGCCTTTAATGGCAGTTCTCACTGAAAGTCTCTGTCAGGCTTATAATAGTTAAACATTATTTTGTAGGAGAAAGAAACAGATTTAACATTCTGCTCAGTTTGCAGAAAGTAATCTCCTGGTTTTTATGCAGATGGAGCAAAATCAGACCGTTCTTGCAGCAAAGTATGAAAAACATTCAAGCTTCATGGTCTGTGCCGTTTCTGAAACTCTGTATAGCTCCTCATATGATTGAGATGCCAGTCACCTGCTTCTTTTCTAGCTGTGCTTATGTCTGTGTGTGGATTGTGCATTTGGAATTGAATAGAAAATGCTTTTAAAATTCCATTTTAATTCCTGATTTTGAATTAAGATAGCAAACAGAATACTGACTTGCAATTAATATTTGAATGTAAGGAGATAGATAGATAGATAGATAGATAGATAGATAGATAGATAGATAGATAGATCCGTCTTATCTATTTTTCAAATACTTTCAAATACCAATTGTGAATGATGTCCAGCCCTATGGAGACTGTTAGTGAGTTGTCAATCTGCTTGTGTCTTTCAGTTCTTCTTTTAGTATTCCCAGAATAGTGTGTCTTATAATTAGATTCTCATTTCAGTAGACGTGCTGTCTGGTATGGTGTCACTGAAGGAGCATTTAGGGGCAGTGAAGCCTATTGACTAAAGATCTAGGGGGATAACTGAAAGGTTGAGGTTCAAACACTGAGAAAAGTGATCAATAAAGTAGCAGCATTGTAGGGAACAAGTTCTTTTATGTCCCAGGTTGCACCAGAGAGACTGTCCTGGTAATATGTGGAGGGTAGGTGGCTTTGGATAAAAGCGTCATCTAAATGACACATGTAATCTTGCTTTCCATCTGGATCTCAGGTTCTAGATTGGTCCAAACAGAGCTAGAGTAGGTTGATGAGCACCACACAAAGCCCACCAGTGTTACGTAATCAAACCCACTCACAGCACAATGTGGAGGCACTGCGCATCATTAAAAAGTTTGGGATCAGTTTTTGAAAGAAGTCAAAAATACAGTAAAAATAGTACTATTGTGAAATATTATTACAATTTAAAATAACTTTCTTTTTTAATGTTTTAAAATTATTCCTGTGATGCAAAGCTGCATTTTCAGCATCATTACTGCAGTCTTCAGTGTCACTTCAGAAATCATTTTAATATGCTAATTTGCTGTTGAAAAAAAAAAAAAGTTTCTTACTATCAGTGTTGAAAACAGTTGTGCTGCATGTTTGGCTTTGCCAGCTCAGCTGACTCCAACATTAAACCTTCACATTCGTTGAGCAGATCTCGCTGTACCAAACGTCATTGAGGAAAGTCAGCAGTCGCGCTGTGTTCCAGTCAGCAGAGCTGAAGCTCATTTTTGCCCAGCTGACCCCCACCTGATCCAGATCAATGAAACGAGAAGCCAGCTGAAAGGAAGAAATACAGTCTGTACTTTCACTGTGCACCTGCACATTACCCATACTGCCTGGTGTGGGGAAAAGGACAATGAGGAGTTTGTAACTGGGGGCGGGTGAAGGAGTATCAGTAAAACAGAAGAAAGAAGCAGAGAAGACTGCTAAAATCCTTTTAAGAAACTTTTTAAAGTAAAGTCTGACAGTGACTTGTGTGGAAATTATCATCTGTCTTAAGAACCTTAAAGGGGTCATATGATGCTGCTAAAAAGAACAGTATTTTGTGTATTTGGTGTAATGAAATGTGTTTATGCGGTTTAAGGTTAAAAAAACACATTATTTTCCACATACTGTACATTATTGTTTCTCCTCTATGCCCCGCCTTCTGAAACGCGTTGATTTTTTACAAACGTCCTCTTTTGGAAGACCAAACAAAGTAGTTTCGCTTTTACAACGAAGCACACAGCGTCTTTACGACATGGCAGCGGAAACAACAAAACTACAGCGAGAATAAAAGTTACGCCTTCTTTCTTTGCGTGAACATTTGGGCGGCGTTATGCAAATCTTCCCACATCGTGACGTAGACATGTGGGGGCATGTTAGAACGAGCCGTTTTAGGTAAGTGTGGCTGACTCTTAACTTTTATAAACAATTGAGACTTTGGTCTTTGCAACTTTACAGATCTTCTTTATGCACCAAGAGCTTGTAACACTCCAAAGAGAAAGGAAAAATTGAAATAGCATCATATGACCCCTTTAAGTACAGTCTATTAGCTTACTATCAGTCTAAACCTGTGAGTCATTTGCTGAGGAAGCGTTCACTGAATGTGTGCTGATTAAAGACATATTTCCAGCTAAAGTCATCTTTGATCTTGATCTCTGACTCTGGGCTCTCTGAGATTGTCTCTCAGCTGCTGGTTTGGACTGAAGCCAGACTCTGATGCAAAGCCGATCTCTGGATGATCGTTTGAAATCAGCATACACCTGATAGTTGTATTGTCTCTGGCAGTCAGATGCTAATTTCACCTGTGGAAACACTGAAGGATTGTGGGCACTGGAGCCTCTGTTTTGCAGGATGTGATGGCAGACATAGAAAACTTCAAGATGTTTTCCTCTCTGATCTGGAGTTGGACCTGAGCTGTGTGGTTCAAAAGAATCACGTACACACACACACACACACATCAAGTGATTGACGTTCTCTCACCCCTCGAAACTAGTTCATAATTTATGACTTCTTGAAGGCCTTTTATCAATTCCTTCTCTTCATGATCTTGCGCTGGTCAGCTGCATAGTTTCATGGTGCATTGCTTTTTTTATTATACAGTACATCAGTGCTGATTTTTCTTTCTTTTTCTCTGCCTGTGTCTCCTTTTGCAGTTGTAGAAATGGCGATGAAAAGCATCCTCAACCCTGATGACATTAAGAAAGCCCTGGATGCCTTTCAAGGTGATTTTTTTCGTGCCATCCTGAGTTCCATGCTTTCATTTTTCCTTCACATTAGGGGTGTGCGATATTGACAAAAAATTATATCTCGATATTTTATGGGATTTTATCGATAACGATAATTAGACGATATTTTGCTGAGTGTGTTATTGTGCTGGTACCTTAAGGACTGCCGAAGACAGCTGACTCCTAATGTTTTTAATATTCTTCATATTGCCGTCATGTCTTGAATTTGTGATCATTCTAAATGCATTTTAATAGACTGAATCATGCAGTGAAAGAAAACACGCTAAATGCGCACACGCACAAGTCTAGACTTCATGTAATGTATGCGTGCGCTCTGTAGGGATGTTTTGAATGGTTTTTGCAAAATACTCGATAATGTCAAATCGCACATCGTTAAAACAACAATTACAATATTATCGCAGACGATATATATCGCACACCCCTACTTCACATATGTACTCTTACTCTAACATATGGTTTAAAAAACTGAAAACAAATAGTCTGCAGAAAGATTAATCACAATTTTGATAAGTAATGTAAATATAAGTATACATTTTTGTAAAAAAAAATACCTCTTTTTTTAGGGGCTGTTCATTTTTTTCATTCAGCTGTGCTGTTTTCCCCCTTTTTCTGTGTGCTAGATGTCTTTGACCATTGCGATCACATTTCACATCTTTTGCAGCATTTCAAGCATGACACGGAAATGAGCATTGCAGCAAAATTTTAAAAGTTCTCTTGAAAAGTGTGTGTGAGAGCTTGCGTTTTTACATTCCATTGCCATGCATCTCCTGTTAAATTCAAAATGCATTCTGTTTGAATGGCCCTTTATTCTGTCATTTGCTAGTAATAGAGAAATCATAACTTCCACCATAATTACAGAAAAAAAAACTATTATTACATAATTACAGAAAGATCATGACTCTTTGACTTTGAAAACACCATAAAAAATATTGAACTTAAAAAATGTTTTTGTGCAGTGGATTTCCTTCTACTTATAAATTTATAAACAATGCAGAAAAACAAACAAAATAATAATAATAATGTAAATAATAATTTTTATGTTAATTTTTTATTTTATTTTTTTTAAATACCCTGTTGAAATCTACTTAACATTTAGGGAGGGGCTAAAGAGCACCACTTTAACTGGATATATAATGCAAATGACAGACGAGAACATCATTGCAAAATGGAAAGCAGCGCAATAATTGTTTTATCTTTATTATCTTGTTTTTATAATTGTTAGAAGCCAAAATTGTAATTTAATATCCTGGTTCTTTTCTTTTTATTATAATGAAAGTTGACAGGGACTGGGGCTATTAAACTAGAAAATGGCAAAGAAGCACCATAAAAGTAGTTCGCATGACTCATGCACTATATTTCAAACAATTTTACTGAAAATCTTCCACTCCACTATATCAAACCTGTCTAATGCCACCATATTTGATTAGAGAGCCAAAGCAGAGGGCAGGTTTTAAGGGATCCAAACCATAAGTCTGTTTTTTTCCGTCTGTTTTCAGTCTGTTTGTCATACATAACTATTATGTGACTTCAGAACACTTGGAATATAGTGCACAATTAGCACAAACCACTTTTATGATACATTTATGGTGCTTTTTTTGTTCTATTTAAAGCTTGACAGTCCCAAACTCTATTTACTTTCATTATATCGAGAAAATTCACCTTTTGTGTTCAACAAAACAAAGCCAAATAGGTTTGGAATGACATAAGGGTGAGGAAAAGATGACAAAATATGCATTTTCATGTAAACTCCTCCAAGTTTCCAGACAAAATGTCAGTGATTCTCTCTGCTTTTTCCTTCTTGTAGCCGTCGACTCATTTGACCCCAAGAGGTTTTTTGAGATGGTCGGACTGAAGGCAAAGTCGACTGAAGATGTGAATAAGGCTTTCCACGTCCTGGATGCAGACAATAGTGGCTTTATAGAGGAGGAGGAACTTAAGTAAGACTACATAATTTCTACACTACAAACAGATAACTTGTAACCCGTAAGATTTGTAATTGAAACTCTCAGAGTAAAGGTGAGCACACAATACGTTTGAAAGGTGTTAAGACTCGCTCTGTTTCCTCTGTGCAGGTTTGTTTTCAAGCATTTCGCTGCAGAAGGGAGAGACCTGAGCGATAAGGAGACCAAAGCATTCCTGCAGGCTGCGGACAAAGATGGAGATGGAAAGATTGGAGCAGAAGGTAAAATAAAAGAATATACAGCAACACATTTTTTTTTTTTTTTTGAGGGCACCAGTGGGAGCCCTGACTTACTTGATAAGTGATAAGAAAACAATTTCTTTTCAAATATAAAAAACATACTAGTTCTTTATAAAAGTGTAAGCTGTGTTAGTCTAGTTTTTGATTAGTGAGTAAATATACCTGGTTTCAAATCCCAACACGCTTCCTCAGTTTGAATGGGCAGGGCTCCAGACAAAAAAAAAAAAAGACTATTTAAATCTTTAATTTCAAGTAATGATTCAAAGTTGATTTATATGGAAGCCTGTTCTTGCTACAGAATAAAAAAGATCACGATTCAAATCCCACTTCATTGAATGATTCACTGAGTGAGTGACTAGCGAGTCCAATTCAAACTGCTAACTCACAAACAAGTGTGAATCTTTTAGATTGACTCATTAAATGACTCATTAAAAAGAACTGGTTCATAAGAGTCAATTGAATCAGACATATACAAAGTTTTCAGAACTGATTACATTTTAAATTATTGCCTGGAGTCCTTATTTTAAGTGACGTGACATGTGGCCAAGTATGGTGACCAGCACCCGGGGAGCAGTTGGGGGTTCGGTGCCTTGCTCAAGGGCACCTCAGTCATGGTATTGAAGGTGGGAGAGAGCACTGTACATTCACTCCCCCCACCTACAATCCCTGCCGGTACAAGACTCGAACCCGCAACCTTTGGGTTACGAGTCCGACTCTCTAACCATTAGGCCACGACTTCCCCTTGTCTTATGACTTCCCCTTCATTATGAATATGACACTTCTACTAACCCATATTCTGTCAGGACCACTATCGTCAAAATGATAGATACTTGGCATAAAGTTTGGTTTGGCTGTATGGTTCTGTTCTGGGCAAAAAACTCCCTGCCCATCCATGCAGCCTGTCATGAATGAGCAGGGAGAGCAGCAATAATAACCCCCCTAGGGTTAACAGAACAGAACAAGCAGATATCATTAATGTACTTAATGATATTTAAGTTTAACACTTTATTCAAGATAAAGGAGTCTGATTAGCAAGGAATATCAGAAAGCCAAGTCCTGACTGTGGCGAAAGGAGGAGCTGGGGATGGAGGAGGGTAATTTGCTCCTGAGCAAGCTGAAAAGCTGCTGAATAATACTGAATAGAGCTTATATAGGAATGCTGCGATAGGTGTCATATTCCTATAGGTAGATGTGATCAGCTGATGCAAGCTTGACTCACGTGACCTGCCAGAACTAACGCTAACGCTTAATTTATGCACTTTATCAAAAATGCTAATAATCTCTCTCTCTTTCTGTTTCAGAGTTTGCTGCTCTGGTTTGTGAATAAGTGACTCCGACTCTTGGCCTGTTCATACCTTATGACCCTTTGACCTCGACACCTCAGCCTAACCCCCCTGAAGCACAGACACACACACACGCTCACTTACACACACGCTTGCACGCCCCTTTCTGAACACCTCCCTACACACAATCACACACACTGACCTTCATGCTATTTATTTTCCTTTTTATAAAAAAGTGAGTGTTTCTGCTAGTGTATAGACCAAGCTACCTTTAACAGGGCAAAACCTCGTGCCGGCAATATGTAGATATAATAGAAAAGAAAACACCACACTGTTCATCATCCACTACTCTTCGTCTGTCTTTATCTTCCTTGAATCTCTCCCATTGATCTTTCGCTCCTCCCCTCCAAACTCTCTCCATCCCTCCGTTAACAAGCCATTGTGAAACACACCAAAAGAAGAAAGAGGTCAAGTTGTGAAAGACAAGAAAATAAAGAGAAAATGCCGCAAGAGTTTCAGTGTGTAATGAATCCTTTTGTTTGTGTGTTTTTTTTTTTATTTTATAATTAGTTGGAAGTATGGTATGTTTGACAGGGTTGCAAAATTTTGAATTCAAGGATTAACTTTCTCGTTTAATTCATGGGTGTGCATTTAAATGGAATTGACTGCACCCCACAGGAAACTGGAATTTGAAAGGCAGGAATTTAATTTAGGAATTTAATGAATTGTAATTCAATTAAATCTATCAAGTTAAAAAAGAAGCTACATTTATTCTTAAGGAAATGGTCATATACTGGAAGTAAAATGGGATGTGAAAAAGTTAGTGGCATTGCTATACTTTTAGTTATTTAGTCCTTAACACAGGACCCCTTCAGAGGCACTAAATCAACTTCACATTATTTTATTTATTAAACAGATCAAGATGTAAAGAATTAGTTCAAGATATCTACAAGAAAGACTACAATTGTATCTTTTCCTATAGTCGCTGGTCAAATCATAACAGACACAAATTACTGCTGTGATATAGGCACATATTTCTGTTTTGAATATTCAGCATCAATTAAACAGGAAAATATGACACCTCAGGAGAAGGTCACACCAATTACTGTCAAGGTTAAAATGAACATTCACTTTATAGGCACTTGAGCAGACAGAACAGCCAATTTAGGGGCAGCTTATAATTGGACGCATCAGATGAATTAACTGAGCCGAGAGACAAAGTTCAAGCACAGAGCGGGAGAGAGAGACTGATAGTCGCTTATCAGAGACGCTGGGGTCCCAGAGGTCAGACCAGCCCCAACAGCAACAAACATGACGGTATACATTTATAGAGTGCATTCAGAGGACACGTGATGCTTTAAGAGGTGTTTTGCTTACATAATGCATATTATATACAATTATTTAAAAATGGAAAGATGGAAAAGACACACTTATCTCAGCACTTAAAAGCACTTCAGCTGACCTGCATTTACATTTCCTGGTTAGTAAGAACAAGTCCAACATATAAAACTACAAGAGAACGGAAGTGATGTTTTAAAATACACAGAAATTACAAAATATTTGGACATGCACGCCACATTTAAAAATGTCATTGCATTATGTGACAAAATATCAAACCAAGTGGACTTTACATTTTTCACTTGACACTTTTCAAGCCAAACATTTCACAAAAATAAATGTGTAAGGTTTCATCAGATGTTAGATCAACATGTTCATAGTTAATGTGATGAACTGCACCTGCGTGAACTTGAGAAGAACTGACTTCACACATCTACTAAAGCACAGTGTTTGTTTGAATATGCCACTTCATGAAATTCATATATTTTAAGTGTGACTTAAGCGCCCAAATATTTATGGGGCCATTACATATAAAAGAGTGTTATTAATTGTGTTTGCTGCCACAGACCATCCAACAGCCTGAAGATAAAGGTAAATTATCTCAACGACCCGCTTTAATGGACTTTTAAAGACTAGTCATTGATCATTCTTGAGTCGTTTTGTCCTAAATGTGATGCTTTGTACTGATTACTCTGGAAAATTAATGGTTTTGAAAATGGCTGAACAATGTACAGTAAAATGTGCAGCACTGATTAGCCATTGAAGAACTGTTTAGGAGCTGAATGATTGGTTGAAATATTATTCATACGTGTGGAGCTGATCTGTCATTGGTTTTGGTGGGTTTCAGCTTCACAGTGGCAAATGGATTTGTGCCTCTGTAAACAGAGAGAAAAAATGAACATGTTAAAATCATAGATCTGCCATATAGATCGTAGAAAACAAAAAGCAACACAATAAGGGGGTTAATGCATATGAAACAATGTGTTTCTACCAACCTTGGAAAAAGTTGTGGTCGAGACTCATAGTCGTCTTGTCTCTGTAAAAATAAAATAAGAGAAGTTATTTAGCACTGATGATTGTTTTAGAACTGTTTTAAACTACTTAAGTCACAGCAAAACCAGACAAATGTGATGCTGAATCTAGAGAAGTATACTGAAACTACTCCCATACTCTTAAAAATAAAGGTTATTTACTGGCATTGAAGAACCTTTCAAATCCATGGAAACTTTCCATTGCATAAAAGGTTCTTTATAGTGGAAATGGTTATTTAGATTATTAAAATGTTCTTCACAATTAGCGGAAAATGGTTCATTTTAGAACTGTTCACTGAATGGTTCTTTAAAGAACCCAGAATGGTTCTTCTATGGCATCACTGTAATTGTAGCCCTGTTCTTTCTTGTCATAAAGTTTAAGTACCCCAGCAAATTTCTGGATATACGCTTTTAAAGAAATACTTCCTTAGTCAACAAAATCACAATACAAGTATATAGCCACAGCAAACCACAACAAATGCAAAAGGAAGCAATAGGCTCATATATAATTGTAGCCCTTTTGAGGTATATCAGAGGATCACATTAAAGCATGCACACACACACACACACACACACACACACAGACCGTCAGCAGAAAGAGCTGCCCCCTTGCAGCCACCAGAATGAAGGATGAGGTGTAGTGGAGAACAGCACTTCACCACAGTGCCCCTGCTGGCCACAGTAAGAACTGACACTTCAAATTCAACGTCAGCCTGTTCTCATCTCATCCCCACATTTACATTAGTTTACAGTCAGGAATCTCTACAGGGATTTAAAATATTCTGAGCATCAGCAGATGTTCCAAAAAAAAAAAAAAAAACCTCGAACCACATCAGAATGTAAAATGCACTCAAAGGATTACTACATTACAGTTGCTGCATGTACATTTTTACTTTGCGTGCAGTATTAATGTGTTGTTTAATGGAAGAAACAGATTGTGATCATTTTTCTTCAATTATAAAAGTCAACATGAATCAAACTGGACCTGTTTACTTAATATGTGTTCTTTCTCTAAATGTGAACATTACACAACGAATGTTCATTCATAATCTTCATAATCTTCCATCAAAATGTAATAACTTTTCCTTTTTAGCTGAAATTGACAATACCTTTTACAACCTGTCATATAGTTCACTTTTCACAGTCTTGCTGATGGATAAATGGTTTATTTAAGTTTATCCATCAGCATTTTTTTTTTATAAAAATGTAATAATTTTATTTTGAAAAATAATTCAGTTAAAAGTATCTTTAAATAATTTAATATTCTGAATTTAAATGAATTTTTCTTTTCTAATATCTATTCAGAAATATATCACATTACTGTACTAAAATGTGTTATTAAACAGATAGTTTACCCAAAAATGTAAATTCTGCCATAATTTACTCAGCCTCATGTCGTTCCGCCCCTGTATGAGTTTCTTTCTTGTGTTGAGCACAAACAATGATATTTTGAAAAATGTTGGTTGCCAAACAGTTGACAGTAGCCATCGTCCTCTATAGTATAGAAAAAAATACTTGGGAGTCAATGGCTACCGTCAACTACTTGGTTACTCACATTCTTCAAAATATCTTCTTTTGTGTTCAGCAGAAGAAACAAACACATACAGGTTGAGAGTGAGTAAATGATGACAGAATTTTCATTTTTGGGTGACTTTTCCCTGTAACACTGTTTATGTAGGTTTGAACAGGCCTCACTCTGTTTTCTGAAGGGGTGGGAGTGACAGGCCGGGAATTGCTGGATCTGGTTGACGGAGGTGGTGGTGGTGGAGGTGCAGGTGCAGGTGGAGCTGTTTGTTGCCTGCTGCTCACGGGTTGGTTGAGGAGGTTACTCATATTGCTGCTGCTTCTGAAAGAGCTGCTACTGAACAGAGAAAGAGGTCAAAGGTCATGAGACTGAAGCGCAGATGCGCAGGTGTTGGGAAATGTGCCATATCGGCTTACCTGGAGAGAGGAGGTCCAGGTGGTTCATCCATGGGGCCTACGTAAGCAGCAGGGAACCAGCCTTGCCTGAACAATGCAGATCAAATGAACAGGAAACTAAATCAGGTGGTCCATCTGAGCACTGTATGTGTGTTTCAGTGCATCACTGAAGAGAATAGAGCAACTCTCCTTTTCATGAATGGGCACTGGAGTTTGAATTGAGGACTTTATGATTACCAGTCCAGTCTAAGGCTACTTCTACACCAATCCATATACTGAATACTGATATTGAAAATGCATGCTTTTTCTCCATGTTTTGACCTTCCATCCACACTGAGACAACATTTTTGTAAGTGAAAATGTAACTTTTAAAAGATGCCCTGTCGAGTGGATAAAACTGATCACGGGTCAACACTTATCACGTTGTAGCGTGAGCTGTAAAAATGGAAGTATTTTAAATGATAACGCATGTGACGCATATTGTACTGATAGATATTACCAGTATATGCCTGCTATGTGTTATTCACATTCATGGTGTGGCTAAAGATAAATGTTACTGTGTTACTTCATATTATATAAGATACGATAACACAATATTTATTTGCAATTGCTGTCCTGTGGCAAAATATGAGGGCAATTGTGTTTTAGGTAAATACATGCAATGGCGATTGTGACCTGGACTCACCATCACTTGGTGAGATATTTTGCTAATAAAATAATCATGCCATAAGAATAGCATGATAACTTTATTACAGTATGTCTGGTCTCTCAGTATCATCTCAGTGAGTTTGTATTACTTTGTTTTACACATGCACAGATAATTTTAGCATTTTATGACATTTCAGTGACAACTTTTGGAAAGCTTGAAAAAATTAATGTTGACAGAACATTTTGAAATGAAAACGCTGTATTCATATGTATCTAGATCAATATAGACTAAGTGTGAAAGTTCTCTCACCGTCCAGAGCTGTCAGAGCGGCCGAACAGCCAGCCGTTCCTCGGCTCTTTAACGAGTAGGGTGATGGTTTCTCCTTGGGAGAACGGCAGGAGGGTGGAGTTTGCAGAGGGAGGGTGGGGCACCAGTGCTCGCATCACTTTGCCTCCGGCCAATCCCGAGATGGAGTTGGAATGACTGGGCTGAGGGGAGGGGCCTAAGATGAAGGGGAGAAAAATTTGCCATATTAAACACAAAAAACAGTGCGTAATATTTACAGAAGTCTTTTCTAATTTCAA